CGACAACAAGTTCGAATGTTGAAGTAAGAAAGGAGGAAAATACATCTGCTGCAACGACGACGTCACTTCCACAGGATGAGTCAGTGACCGAAAAAGCTACAGAGGCAACCACAGCGGGCCCTGGGGAGAAAGAGGAAGAGGAGCCTCATGTAAGCGTCAAAGCAGGTGAGCTTGAAGCAAGCAAGGGTGATAAAGCAACAACCACAACGTCATCTCTAGCTCAATCAGAGACGACGCTAGAAATGGTCAAAGCCGTAACAGAGTCGGGAGTTTCCGCTTCAAGCACGCCTCCCACCGCGCTTCCACACGGTGCTGAGGAACCTTCCGCATCTATGGGACCCAATGAATCTGAAATAACAATAGAAACCACAACAATGGAGAGCGAACCTGACAAAAAAGCGACAGCGGTACCTGTTGATTTTAGCCATGAAGGAGCAGTAGTGAGCGAAAAAACGCCGACTATCGCAGCAAGGATTGATGAACTCACGAGTAGCATGACTTCAAAAAGTTCGACAGCCACGTCAGTAACCACAGAAGAAGAATTCACAAGTACGCCAGCCAGCACGTCCACATTAAGCGGCAACCTTGCCAACGGCGAGACAGAGAACACGTCCTCCACAAGAACACTGCCTGCATTTGTAACTGAGACAGAAACGCCAGCGACTGAAAGTCACTTTGAAGAATCGACTGCAGGAACAGCCGAAGTCGGTAAAGTGGGGCATTCCGAGACCACCGAAGTGCCAGAGATGAAAGCAAGTACAGATGAAGTAACAACTGAGAACGTTCAAAGTGATTTAACGGGAACGGCTTCAGAAGAAACCACATCTGGAATGGTGACTACTCAATCAGGCTTCACTCCATTAGTTGTAGGATTTGACGGTTCTGTTACCACTACATCCTCCTCCATTACCTCTGATGGGTACAGCAGTTCCTCTTCGCCTCCAATGCCTGTTTCACCTGTAATGGAAACAAGCGGTGAGGAAATGCCAGGTGTTACCCATCCTGAAACGACATCAACTGGTGCAGTCGAAGGCAGCGGTGAAGAACCATCGCGTAAAGATAAAGTGCCTCAAGTCGAAACGAGTATGGACAAACATACCACAGCCGCTGATGAAAGGAGTGCTACATCACAGCCAGAGTCGTCTACAAAAATTGTGTCAGGTATGCATTCACTACATGTTCTGATTTGGAATAATATCAGATAAACGATGTTTAGAGCTTGGCGACGGTGTTAAAACAAAGGCTAACGGAACAGGAACGGGGGAAGATGAAGAAGACTCCATTATCAATCCCGCTATCCTAGAACATCCACATGACAGTAATCTCCCTGCAAATGTAGGCTTCGTGCCAAGTTCTGAACCGGATATGCTTCATGAAAGTGGAGAACAAGAAGAAGAAGAAAGCGAGAAAGCGGTGAGTTTTTTTAGCTCAGTTTTCATAGAATCACTATTGTCTGTTCGTCAGACAGCGATTATAAAGAATAAATAGATCCTTCACATCGCAGGTTTCTCCAAAGGAACCAGACTACGAGGATACTGTCAAAGCCAAAACGTCCGCTTCAACAGCCGTAACTGAGGAAACTACTACACGTAAGTAGGTTGTTCATATTCATTTGAAGAACACTCACTACTTATGAGAGTTTAGTCGCCCATCAGAGCACAACGACAGAACCTCCCATTCAACTAGTGCAAGATCTGATCGATGCTCTTGCTGGAGGTGGCCTGAATGCCATTTTTGGTCCTCCGCGACGAACATCAGAGGCTGATGAAGCTGACAAAAAGCTAGGTATGTGAAAATCGACGCATTTGTAACAATTAGACATAATCAAAAAATTTGAGTTGTTTTCTTGAACTCTTCACGAGTTTCTTATTTAAGCTTTACTAGACTGATGTTTCGGCCGTTCGAACGTCTCCACTGCCCCAAAGAAGTTCGAGACCCCTAGAGCAGCACGCACGATGATTGAACCCACTTAACGTAGCTTGTGGGTTTTTCCAAGCCCCCCAGCCACCATGGTGCCAACCAACCAGTGTCAGCTGGGGTAAATCTTCATTCAAATATAGTTACTTACATCTTCTTTACGATTCATCTTCAGTTTGGTTACCTAAATCCAAAATGTCTCAAGGGTTTTACGGTCTTTTTTTTTTACAATTGTGACTCTTGTGTTACGATCTCCACGGTGACTCGAAAAATTTGAACGGTCAGCCACAATCGCTACGCTCCTTTCAGGAAATGGAAAAGGCGATTCTGCCAAAACTTTAGCCTCCTAAAACTTATATACAAAGAGTAAGAGCTCGAGAAAGAGTTCAAGAAAACAACTCATTAGCGAAGCAGTTATGTCGATAGTCTTTGTAGAAAGTCGTACGTGGAAATCCAGCCAAAAAGATAAGAAAACTCTAAAACGAGATTAACAGGGAGTAAAAGGAGTAAGGCTAACTCGTTGTATGTGCCACAGTGGAACCAAGTGGCAAAATAACTGATGCAGTTCTTTTCCCTCATTGATTCATGCTCCTGTAGTTTGTCATGACCTCCATACTTTTGGCAAAACACAAGTGTCCTACGGAATTTTGTTCCTTTTGAAAGATGTACGCAATCAGAATTCACCGTGGCCTCTGAAAAAGGTGCATATTCTGTTTGGGTCCTACAAAGGGGTGAAGCGCTGCACGATGTGTTTGTTGTAGGAAATAGCTTAGCAGAGCCGAAGGTGGGACTATCGTGGGTGTTCGCTACAAGCATTAGCGTGCCCAGGGATCGAAACGTGCCTCGGATTGGGCCGTGAAACGTCGGGGTATTGTATGCACCTAGGAAGTAGTAACGCTTCCATTTTGAATAATTAGGTTCTGGAGCTAAAGTATAACTCAATAAGTCCAGGACATGTTAGTAAATATTTTGATTTTTTAAATTAGAATTGTCTCTTTTGTTTACCATTGGACGAGACTGATAACTTACACTTTGTATACATTTTAGGTGATTTGAAAAAGTATCTACATAAGTCGCTGGAACAGAAGCGAGGTATGTTCTGTGTGAACCTTAATCTCCGTGTGTACATCTTGATACTATTACTTTGGTGCATGTCTTCTGTTCGTTAGAGTTATCGATAGGTTGCGGGGTCAGCGCACCCATCTTCCCGCATCTCTATGCAGAAAGAAAGGATGATGAACCAGAGTAGCCAGAACGACCAAGACTTTGAGGCCCTTCCTTTCTCCTGAGAATGGCGTTTCTTCCTGTGAATCGGATTCCTGGGAATAGCGAAGAATGGCTGCTTTCATAGTCCGCAGGCAGGCGCGCTGGCGCGCAGGCAGTGCTAGGGGGGAGGAGGGAGGCAGACAGTGTAAGGCAAACAGTCCACGCCCCTTCGAGGGGTTGAAAACAAACAACCTTCGAAGGGGCGTGGACTGTTTGCCTTACACTCTGCCTCCCTCCTCCCCCCTAGCACTGCCTGCGCGCCTGCCTGCGCGCGCGCCAGCGCGCCTGCCTGCGGACTATGAAAGCAGCCAATGATAGAGGATCTCTTGCAGTGATGATTCTACGAGGGTCAATTAATCACCGCATACAATGAATACTGGGGTGGCCAAGTTGAAGTTGTCTAAATGGCAACATAGGACACTGCTATTTGTGGATGTAGTGGTGCTAGCTAAGCTTGACAAAGGTGGGGATGAGGCAGTGGACTGGGCCCCACTTGTAAGAGGGATGCAGGACTCTTCCAGGGAGAGGGTTACACAGCACCCCTCAACTACGATGCCAACCGGGTGGCGGTACTACTCCCTTAATTCCCACGGCGAGCGGCGAGGGTAAGGGGCGGCTATCGTATTCTTCCGTTAAAAATTCAAGCCTTCCCATTTATAACGCGCGACTAAGCGCCATCGGGTGCGGCGAGAGCGATACAAGTTGTTTTAGAGAGAAGTAACCACATCTCTGCCCACCCATACAGCGCCCGCCTTTGGCCCACTTATTCGCGACGCTTTTTCAATGAAATTGCATTCCAAGTCGAGTTTGTCTATTACTGACTTTACTATTTTTTACTGTTGCTTGCATTTTAATTGTGGCTTTATGCTGATATTGTTGGTAAAGTGTTTGTTTAATGTGATTGGTGCAGAGTGTGCCGCTACGAGACAAATGCGATTCGTGGCCAGTGAACTCACTGATCTCACTACTCCATTTGATGCTGATACTGTCGTCTATTCACTTCAACATTGTGCTAAACTATGCTTCGAAACCGGCTGTTCGATGGCCGCTTTCACTCGATTTCCTCGCCCAATCTGCCTATTGCGCTTCAGCGGCGACATGGAGTGCCGTTCCAATGGCACACTCACGACATCATGGAATTTCACCCGCATTCAGGAAGTCGTCAGGCTGGACTGTATCGAGTGTGGTATGTACTAACAAAGCTGCTGTCTAAATCGCGTTGCTTATTACGGTAGCTTCCACTCTACAGTCCGCCTAAATACAAAAAATAAATATCGATTATGTGGTGCCTAATTGGCACCATTATTGTGTGTGGAAGTAGCCTGTTTATAAGTTGAACTTGTCCGCTGATGTCCATTTTTCCACGCCTACAAAGTTCACTCATTAGTTTCATGTACCGTAGCAGCACATCACAGCTTTTCGTTGCGAAATCATAGTATATACTTGCGTTTTGTCTAGTTTTCCGAAGGATATACCAACATCACGATATCTTCACTCATTTCGCTTAGTTATGTTCCTGTTTCACTACTGCTTGCTATCACCAAAGAATACTAAAAATCACCTATGTTCATAACAATCTCGAAAACTATCTCACATTCACGGCATCTTTCCATATCCATCAGCCTATGTTACACGCGAGAAACATTCCCCATCACCAGCTAATTCTGACACGGCTGTTTGCGAGAAAGGTACGAGGGCGCTTACCTGCCTTCAAGTTGTGAAGAAAACAGTCTATTTTACGTTTCCATACTTTTCTACGGAGAACGAATGGAATTAGTGAAATTCACTGGTCACGACGACTTTCACAAATGGTTGATGAGTGAAGTACAGCAGTTTGTGATCATCACTGAACATTTGTAGCACAACCATAGCAACTTTGAAATTCACCCTTGTGCTTCGAAAATCCATCTATGAATGCCTTTACGACTATCACTAGATGCATACACAATAACTCTACCGCCTTCCTTCCCTATTGTCTAGTGATGTAGTCATCAAATTCTAGTTTACCACATCTGATGTTTCTCTTTCTCGTAGACTCCAATGACTATTTCAGACAAACAGAATGGAGAAGTAATAAAGCAGAAAGAGCAAGTCGATATTACTAACCTTAACTCCTTCAGTGAAGATGACGAAAACACGGTGATCCCAACTCATGAAGGCATGTTTTCTTCTTTTTCCACAGTCTGCACAGATACCATTCCCACGAAGTATCACTCGTTTATGGTCATTACAACCGAAGATTGCACTTAAAAGAGTAGAAATGTTCAAGCACAGTTGCTGCTGCGTCGTCCAGACTTGATTTTTTATGTTGTACCTTTCAGGTGTAACTTCAAAGTGTGAAGGACGTATTGAGTTCCAAACGTTGCCTGTCGGCAGTCTTCCTCCCCTCAACGTCACCAACGATGTTCCTGCAAGAACGCCTGCAGACTGTGCCAAGAAATGTTTCGAATCGGTTTGTTTTCTTGAAAATTTTTGTCACATGCAATACAAACTGTTGACGTGTTTTGTACGCGTCTTATACAGGTAATAACTTGTTTTGGCTGATTTTTAACACTAAAATCAAGTTAAATCGGGTTATGATAAAAAAACATTCGACATAACGGTTCAACACCGAGATTGGCTGGATAGTTCAACACGTTGTACTTGTGAATGCTGAGAAGCTGTGGTAAGCAAATTAAGGGCATGTGGAGGGTTTCGTTGGTTTATGGGTTGCGAGCACGGTGCCCGGATAGCACAAATAAGGGTTCGAGTCCCATCTGCAGCGGAACTTCGGAACCACCCTGACTCGCCATCTTTGTGGGTCATCTATAATTTACCCTGCAAGAATCACCTGCCGATCCCTTGTTGGGTTGTCTTGTAGCTATTCGAGTGACCAGCCCTTAGCATTGAGTGCTTTCTCTAGATCTCGAAATTCTATTATTTCCTAAATCAATTGCACAACAATGAACAAAGTTTTCGAATCTACCGGATAATTAGAGAGTGGACCGCATCCTCGGTGGTAGGTCTTCGCGAACGGGGAGCGTAATAGTTATATCTCTAAGAAGTGAGTCTATTGGGCGAATAGAGCTTATGGTTTTTTCAATTTCTCCCTGATACGTGAGTGACCAAGAGTTCAAACACTCCTCTACTTCGCTGACAAAGGTGCAAATGTTGTCAAAAGGACGTCTATTCGCACCTCTCAATACTTTGCAAAACGCGTGCTTGATGGATTTGATGAGGCGCTCATAAAATCCTTGCCATGGTGCGTGCGGCGTTATGTGGTTCCACCGTATTTCCTTATCTGCAATTCCACGCTTGACGTCCTCCTTAATCAGGTACGCCAGATCTTGTCTAAGAATGCTCTCTGTGAGCAAGAAAGTTGGCGCATTGTCACAGGTTGTAGACTATGGAAGTCCTCTGCGCGCAATAAATAATCAAAGTGCGTTTATGAACTCCACCGTGGCCATGCTTCGTACAACTTCTATGTGGATAAGGCGCGTCACTGTGCATGTAAAAATACATCCGTACAACTTAATCACTTTCCCGTCTTCTCTACAAGATGGCAGGTCGAAAAATGCACCCAGTATTCTAAACGGGCGGCATTTAACGAACCGCTGATGAGGAAGGTGTGTTATCTCGGTGTAGCGGTACGGTAGTGCATTGAAGCGTCGACATTTGACACAGGCGCTTACCACCTTCCGAACTTGCTGGCGCAGTTTAGGGACCCAGTATTGTTCACGCATAAAGTGGTTGCAAGTGTAGAAGTATATATACATCGTTGTGATCACAAATGTAGCTACCACGCGTCAACGATACTGTCGAGACGATTTTATGGGCGCACTCTCAAACGTGGGTAATTAAACCATGATATCAGCAATTACAACAACAGTGAAACAATCAATACGTATGTTATGCAAGAGACTTCTGTCGTTATGATGATGCAATAAACTTAAACCGTTAGAATGATATAAGGAACTCCAACAGTAAAAAAGTGCAAAACACTTCAACCGAAGACGACATAAGAGACTGGTACAGTTAGAATGATGCGAGAAATATCAGTCATCAAAATGATATGAAGGGCTTGTCGTTGAGGTGATATGAGGCGGCGCAAGAGAGGAATATGAGGAAATGAATAAGAAGAAGCTTCTTAAGGGATCCCGATATGAATGAAACGAAGGTTACTGGCGAGAGGCGCAAAGTCGAGTGATGCCCCAAGCGGAGTGTTACAGTCATATATGCTTTGGGCGCAACACCGATATTTGATATATTGATGGGAAGATCATGAGACGGCGCGTGCAATCGCGGCTTAAAAACCGCGGCAATTCTGTTCCCGCCCAAGCGAATCTTTATGGTCATACGTTCTCTTCAGAATAGCCTTCTCCGAGTCCCCCTTGAATCGTATATACGACCCCTCGAGTTACGCTCACGATAAAAATGCATCCTAAATATCTCCCTACAATGAATGCACGGTCTCCAAAGAGTAATACATGGGACAGAGTCCTGTCAAAAAACCCCTGGACAGAATGTTATAAGGGCTTCAACACCGGTCAGATCGAGTTTATACTCAAAATGACTGTGTAATGTCGGCCTTACTAATGCAACTGCTACATTACAATGGAGCACATATACTGAAGGTTCGAGGAATTAGTCGCAACCCATGGCAAAAATAGCCGCCTTCATATTGCGACAACGACGTCGGCACTGGGACGCTCACCTGGGAGACACCCGGCGTTTATACGGAACTTGCAGTCATTCGTTATCTTTTTTTCAGACAAACAATTCTTTTCATCTTAAGATGCTTTCTCCAGACCTGACGCCGTTACTATGAATGCGTATAGTAGGCCCTTCCTGAAGCATTTTCGGCCTATGTAGCTAGCCACCTGATTGGCAGAGGGACGGTACATTCGTGCGATTCGGGCTCCGCGTGGCAAATTGCGCGGCGAAATTCGTGGTGGTTAAAACGACTCTGGCGCCTATTATTGGGGCACAAACTCGAAGTAGAGTAGATTAGTATGGTCAGCCGATCCTATTAATCTGCACTACTTCAGAATTGGGCCCCAATAATAGCCTCAAGAGTCGTTTAAACCAACACGAATTTCGCCGCGCAATTTGCCGCGTGTAACCAGAATCGCACAAATGTACATACACCCGATTGGCAGTTACCTTCCATGCCGATTCTGGAGGGGAGCGGAAGATACGTGACTCCGAGGATGCGCGCGGCAAATTGCGCGAAAGTTCATGGTGATTTGAGCGACTTTAACGCCTACCATTGAGGCCTAAATTTGAAGTAGGGTAGATTAGTAGGATCATCCTACAACCAATAATAGGTGCCAGAGTCGTTCGAATAGCCGCGAATTTCGCTGCGTAATTGGTCGCGCGAACCTTCTACGCACGTACTATGTACTCATCTCCTACTTCTGGAGTGAAGGTAAATAGCGGAAAGCATTTTCAGTAGACAATATATTTCATTTCATGGCAAAACCTTATTCGGATGCACAAATTTGCACACGCAACATATAACACGCAACGCAAGGAAAAGAGGCTTTGGGCAAGGACCTGGGGCAGGCGGTGAGGTAGCTCGGGGGACAGTCAAGTCGTGCGTCCGAGGACGCGCGCGGCAAATTGCGCGGCGAAGTTCTTGACGTTTTGAACGACTCTGACGCCAATTTTCATGGCACAAACTCGACGTAGACTAGCTTAGCAGGGTCAGATTACCCTTCTGATCTACTCTACTTCAAGTTGGCTCTCCAATGATAGGCGCTAAAGTCGTTCAAATCGTTACGAACTTCGCCGCGTAGTTTGCCGCGCGCATCCTCGGACGCACGTAAGTTCCGTCCCCCGGGAAACTTCTANGACTCTGGCGCTTATCTCTAGGGCCCAAATTTGAAGCAGAGTAGATTAGTAGGACCAGCTGACAATACTAACCTACTCTACTTCTAATTTGGGCCCAAGTGGTAGGCGCCAGGGTTGTTCGAACCGCCACGCACTTCGCCGCGTAATTTGCCGCGCGCATCCTCGGACGCACGTAAGTTCCGTCCCCCGGGAAACTTCTACATTGGCATCATTTGACATAATGCAGTATCAGACACTCATCTAATTGCTCTCTGACACACAATTTCCTGTCGTCAAGCGAAGTTTGAATGTAAGCGTTCATGATAGCTACGCACTTGAGGGAACCTATCACTCTCGAGACCATCACTCATGATTTGTGGTCTCCAGAAATGAAACCTAAGCAGGTTTTGGGTGAAACAGTATCGTGTATGCGGTGCATCAGAAATGTTTTCAAGCTCTTCTTGAGTAAGATCGTCGATAGCCGGTTGTGGCGGACATGTAATGCTGCTTTAGCGTGTGTAGCCCAACTGGTATATGGATAACCTAAGACAAATTTAGGTGATCCAATTTGCAAACAGCTTTCAAAATGAGAAAGTAGTCCAGTAACCAGTGTAGGTTTTTGAGGTCGCTACGTTTGTAGCCTAAACAAACTGCAACCAATTCATGAATCAAAAAGTGAGCCTCGTGGGAACCTTTCTCAAAATTCTGAAGTGCTGCCTATCTTAAGATCAAAATTGGGGTCCATGGCGTATAATGCATACATTACCTTTCGTGCTTTACAGAAAGGATGCTCCCTTGCTGGTTTCATTGGTAGCCCCTCCGGAAACATTTCACATGGTGTTTGCCTTCTGACTTCTGATGGAAGTGTGTGCGGAAACAATGCCGACTATGTTCCCCAACACGCAGCCTTGAATCCATTTGTCATATCATGCATGAAATGCAGCTGTGAGTCCTTTTTAGCTACTGGATCCCACAATGCCTATCATTCGTTCTTTTTTCAGCATGTACGTACAATATACGAACCGTGACACCGGATCGAGTGTTGCCAGACTTTAACCACGTCGAAAGCGTCTCATCCATTGGCGAGTGCGCTCGAGCCTGTCACTCGAGACGGTGCACCATGGCACAATACAATAGTCAGCAGCATACAGTGAGTTCCCTACATCATTACATATGGCAGTACTTAAATCGTCACCCTGAAGGCCCAACTAGGAACGAGACTCGCTAAACAAATTTTCTACGAACAGTCCTGATTAAAAAGGGCTTAGAAAAGCAATCCGATAATCCCTCACCACTGCTAACCATGAAGCGTCTCTCTCTGTATGTCAACCAAGAAGTCAGCCAGCCGATCATGAAATCTTCCTTTTCAGTGCATGACGACTTCTGAGCCGCTGGATTCGAAGTGTGCTCGAGAAACCGCAGTGGTGACCGAAGGTATTCTGCCGGTTACTCTCGAATGTGTCAGCTGTGTGGTATAGATGCCTTCTCATCATCTGTCACCTCATGTTGTGCCTTGTATGCTCATTTTGCCTCGTTTCGCCAGCTCTAGCCATGTCTACGGATTCATATAATATTTTTAAACTTCCCCTCTCTCACTGCCCTTTCTCTAGCTCGCTAGTCTTGTATAAACTCCAAAAAAAATTTGTTCCCATTTCAAATTATCTGAAACGGTTTACTTGTGCTCCGTGACGAAACGGTCGTCTCCGGTATCTACTCTCTAATAACGAGTGGCTTTCTATTTTTTTTGTTAACTATTCTACTACTCACTGTAAGTGCTCGGTGTTGTATTGATATGTGGTGTTATCCGTTGCTACAATCCAGGTTATTCATGGTACTCCTTGATGCGAGTAATTTTCACCCATTGTCAAACCAATGAAAACTTCTATCATATGGCTTGTCCTCGAATCTATACGTCAGACAACTACAATAAGGCTTGTGGCGAATAGCTCGTGAAATGGCAATGGGAAGAATGCCACGTGGAATCGGTGGTCGGGTTGCTAGGCGTCCTGGGTAAGGGACAACCATGGAATTTCCGAAGAAGCGCAGCAGTCTAATATGACAAGGCGTCTCGACTATAGGGCTAAACTTGACGGTGAATTTCTCAAAGAGGGCGTCCTCCTAAGCACAGCATGGATTTCGCAAAGGTCTGTACTTATTCAGTTTATTTGTTTCTTTGTGCTGATCTGACTGTGGCTCTCTTTATTCGAAAACGTCTAGGGATATGACGCTTCCAATCAAGTTGGAGTTGATGCTTCGACTAAGGAGTGTCGTCGAGCGTATTGAAATTATTGCTCATGATCTGTATATCCGTGAGTGCATCCGTTTATGTTGGCAGTTTTCAGATTAAGCAAGTTTACAAATGCGCGTTGTGAAGGAAGCTGTAGGTAGCGCACTTAAGCCGAAAAATGCTGTGCCTCTCCATGGCTCTGACAATGAGTGTGAGCTTCTGAGCGCCATCAAGTTAGCCAGATGATAAAGCACCCCTCCAGGGTGAAGATCCTCTCCAGATTATACTAAACCCGTATAAAGCCAATTTTGTGTGGTTTCGATGCTAACTATTGTGGTATAAAGAACTATAGTCTTAGGAGTGGGCTCACTCTCCAGCCACTAGTTCTCTTTGTGTTTTTACCTAGTTGACTGATCTGCTTCGAAATTTTTTGTTTTCACACTGAATCTCGCCATCTTTACTTATCCTGTAAACTCATTCCATGAAAAAGTATGCTTATGCAAAGGTCAAAACGACGTTCAACACATTGCAGCTCACCAAGTGGCAATTGCGACTTCGGACGACGAGCTGAAAGGATCCGAGAAAAAGCTTGGGTAGGTGATCCAATCCAGACCCAAGTTCTCCTATTCGAAACCCGAAACAATATCCTTTTTGCTCAAAAGTAAAGGAAGCATCTAGAAAAGTGCTAAGCGCCGAGTTTCAAAGGTATTATATTACATATTATATACATATGTGTTTGTTTATTTGCGTGTGGGTGCAAGCAGTGTAGTGGCAGGAGGCGCGCTATTGCACACATGTTTACGGAGGGTCGAGTTCCGAATTGATGCAGAACTCAGGGCAACAAACCTTCTATCCCCCCAGCGTCGATATATTGGCACCAGCCTCGCCTGAGAGGAAAATAGCACTGACTATAACATCTGCTTACCACTGTAAGCCATTACGTAGGCTAATACGCATTCAATAGACCGCTACGACTTCGGAATGGTAGTCCAGCGCGGGTTTTGCGCTCCAAAAATAGGAATTATTATTGCCAAAAAAATTTCCAGGCTTTCCGATGTGTATAGTTAAGGAGACGTGATAAGTACGAATTTATCGATCTGTGAAGTTGAGCCAATGTACTGCATTCGAGATCAAGGGGAGAGTTTGTGAAGCCCACCTCTGCTTATATCTCCGAGAAGGAAAATTGTAGAGAAACGTCAACACACTTGAAAGTACACCTCTGTGTGTAACAAAAAAAAAAGAGAGTGAAAAAAGATGAAATGTGGGAGAACCAATAAAAAATCAAGAAGAGCAAACCTTCATCAATTTTTTTCGCAATCTTCTGTCGAGTCGTGAAACTCCTCTTTTTGTTTTTGCTGATTCCCAAAAAGGGAAGTGTACGGCAACAAATCTATGCAAACAAGCCTGAGCGATTTAAGTTTGTTCGTACACGGTCATCAGTAAATGCACTGTTCTCTCACAGGATGGCTTCACCAGCAAAAATCTCCTCAGCTAGGAAGCTATCAAATCATATCTTATCATTTAGACAACCCTGATACACTGGGCAACGGTGCATTTTGAAAATAGGGATTGTCTCCCCTTCATGTGGTACCGAGTGAAAGCACCTTGACGCGTTCCTATCAACACATTGATAACAATATAGTCCACATGTGGGCTACAGCTGTTTTTTATTTTGTTTAGTTGTGCTTCCATTTTTTTCGCCATTTTTTCTCGAACGCGCCATCGAAGTATGAAATCTGATCTAAGTGAAGCTATATACTGCATAACCCCAGGAAACTCTTTGGACCTTTTGGAATTTCAAGCTTGATGAGGTAGCTGAGCTTCTTTGAAGAAATGTACTGCTTGACGAGAGTTTTCCCTCTGAAGAGAACTAGTGACTCGAGGATGCAGACGTTTTGATCAAACTCTTGGTCCTTCTTGCAATACATTGCAATGTTCATTGAAAAGCTTCGAAAAATGAGGTATATCAAAAAGCCAGCCGCTATTAGCATCTCCATTGTCATCGACTGGTGCAAGGCCCGTAAGAGGTCTTGGAAAAGTTTTCTTGAAATAATTAAGTTCATGCCTGAATGACCATTAAGTGCTACGCTCAAAAAATAAAAATCCGCAAGTGTACGCAGAAAAAAGCTACGCTGGACCATGAAGTTCGCAGCAGCAGTAGCGGTGGAAGAAAAGTGCGGTTGTCGTTTGCTATACTTTTCCTCCGGATGTCTTTAATGTGCCACTTTATTAATTCATCTTTGCAAAATATTTGATTATCGTTTTATGCTAATTACAGTATATAGGACCTGAAAACTGTACCCGTCAGTAGGGTAGGTCAGTACCGCTCGCAGTGTCTTCAAAATAAGTCAGTTTTTGAGTTTTTCTTAATCAGGATCAATGCGTAAATATCTCATCTTATACGGGATGCTCAAAGTGTAAAGGATGGAAATATTTAAATAAATGCAATACGGTTCCTCTGCCTCAACTGCAGGAATTATCTTCCTGCAAGGTTCAGTCCCATAAAAACTTCTCTTGAATGAGCTCAGTTAAAATTTTTTCCAATGAACTCAGTTTAACTTACAAAAAACAAATTTTGGCATTCGATTTCGTTTGTGTATTATCGATAGTCTGACGATTCACCATAGAATTCCGTATGGCCTTTGCCTCCACAAATATTTTCTGTTGTAGAACGCCTGATTGTAATAGCCAGCTACCTCTTTCGGAAAAATCTTCAACTTGTTCGCTTTTCAAGCATCATAAATGGGATCTTAAAGATTTTTTGACAAAGTCATTCCCTTTTCTACACTACCCATACCTTCCTCGAATTTCGAGTAAGGTTCGCTTCCTAATACTTTTCATCTAGCTGTAATAAAAAGATCAATATAACCTCTTTGTTCTTCTCATAAAACTGTGCTAGAATGCTTGGACGAATTTGCATGGTTTTCTTTACTCAGCCATTGGCTGTTTTCATTGTCCGCAATTTGGCCCGTGGACGCGCAAGCGAGCGCGACGGCAGGGGGCGGTGTCTGCCTCGTGTTTACAACTGAATCTTGATCGATACCGCTGGCCGAAGTCCCCTGGCCTGCGCGCTCGCGGGCGAAATCGCGGACCATGAAAGCAGCCATTGACGTCGTCTGAAAAATAGTGGTTCCCTGAAGAAAAGTACAGGATTTTCTAATTTTTTTGCGGAGTTGCAGGGTAGTGCACTTCAAACCTGCTTCCGAAGCTAGCAGTCAACAGAGGACTATCTATGTCGACGTCAGCTGTACAGTTATTACCCTTCAGATAAATAAAGCTCACGAAGACGAAGTTACGAATCCATTTCACCAGGTCAGTTCATGAAGGCTATTCATGGACTCCGACTGATAGATTCCACCTTAGTTCTCTTGAAGGGGTGTGACAGGTTTCCAAATTCGAGGGGGAGTTCAGGGATGTACCATTGGTTTGAAATAGTACTGCAAAAAAACTCAGAAAAGTACAACTACCAATCACTACTCGATGAATACTCTCATTGTGTTTGGACCTATTGTAGGGGATCGGCATCTTTCATAGTCCACGACCGGTCGCGCGATCGATCGCGCGACCGGTCGCCGGTCGCTCGTGAGATGGGTCCGCGACCGATCGCGCGACCGGTCGTGGACTATGAGAGATGCCATCCTATTTTTTCTTCCTCAGACTTATGACGATGGTGATTTCCTGATTGGATCGGTAGGAGTATTAGGTCGTCTGACTCATTGTCTATATCGATCCATTTTCATGGTTTTTGAAAATGCATTTTGCAAAGCACATATCACCATTCATAGTTTTCAAGGTTGGTTTGGAGAGCGTATTGGTCTTTGGCCGATACCTGTCGGGCGCCGAAGATGATATCCCGCCTTCAAGAAGGACCCTATCTCCTGTGGAAATGGTGAATAGTAAAAGGTTCACCGAAGAAATTGATGAACTACTTCGACGAGTCAAACGGAACAAAGACAAGTTTGTCAGGGTCAGTCAATTGGATCTTTAAGGAATTACGCTCTTTTCTTCGAATTTCCTTTGTCTCTTTTATAGAGCATGATTCCATTTTGATATTTGATCACTACAGTTTCCGAAACGGTTTAGGAGATGGACTTCAGCCAGGCAAAACGAGCACAACTGGAGATGAACCTACTCACGAAAGCGAGAGGAGAGATGGTTGCACTGGAGAATGCGCAGTCGGAGGCAGTCAAAGAGGACAACTTCCACCGAGCTGTTGATCTTCAAGATGAAATTAAAACTCTCCGAAGAAACGTGATGGCATTTGTCGACCCACGCCTCACTGCTAATGTGCTTTTTCTATCTTCCATTCTTAATCGGGCCTTTTCATGTAAACACAGCCCACCAAACTGGAAAATGAACAAAATTCCTTTCATTTTGGAAAGTAACTGAAAGCTTCACTGAAGGTTCTGCTCCTGAACATTAAAGGGTGAACGGCAATCAAATCATTTCACAGTTTTTACGCTCTTAAAAGTTGCTCCCCTGAACTATACTGTTGTTCTGAATTAGCCAATAAGCCTTTCAGATTGTACGCTCGGAGGACATTCTTCGCCCGAAGAATTTATTCGACAAGGAAGACTTGAAAATCGGAACCCCCGAACTTTTTACTGCTATGGGTACGGCGATTCACACAATCCTTAATTATTCATAAATTTCTCAATAGTTGAAGAGGTCCTCGTGAGCTTTGACGGGAGGCTGTGGCAGACCTTACTATGGCATCGCCTTCGCTTTATGTCACTTTAAAGGAAGCCGCTTATTCACGAAAGCTGAACATAGTCAAAATAACAATCTCTGGCGAAAGCATGCGACTTCTTGAAAATTTTTGTTTTATTGCCAAATCGCTTACGAAATGTCAAGGCACCACTGGTGCTCAAGACCATTTCAGATTTATCACCGACCGATAGTCTAGAGCGGGTGAAAGTGCGGCGGGCCTCAACCAGTGACACTATGAGTGAAAGCTCTGCTACCAGCAAAATATCCAGAACTCCCAGCTCACCTAATGTTCTACTCAGAACTGGCTCAGGTAAATTGTCTGCAGATTACGGTCGTAATCATACTAACTTTCCGCTAAGTATCCCTTCGATTACTGATTTTGATTTTCCGCCAGGGTGGATTCCCTTGGTCTATTCCTGACGAATCCTGTGTTTCAGAGCTTACAGCGTTACTAAAATTAGGCAAAGTACTGAGAATTTGATCCAAGACGGTGTTAGGCCTGTGGTTTATGGCTGCCCGCTTACCCAGCAATTCGTGGGTAGAACTCTAGCGAAAAAAACATGAACCTTTTGCAGCATCGTCAGCCAGAGAACGCTCAGCTCCGAAGCTCAAACAACGGCCTTCGTCGGTGTCCTCAAGGAGGACGAATTCGTCACGATCCGTGGCCACTAGCGCTTCTGGACTGCCAAGGGTTGAGCCATGGCATGGGAACAAGTTTTTAGAGAAAGAAAACACTGTAGTTCCAGCTTTGAGAGACAAGTGAGCGATTTTCTGTTCTTTTTGGTATTATTTATCTCATACCGAAAACAGATCCAGAATAAACAAGTCCGATTCGATCGAAGAGAGTAGTGACGCCTCTAACCAGGAGGAATATCAACCAGTGGCCATATTCAAAGGAGTCGATTATTCTAGGGCTGTGGATTTGTTCGGAGAACAAACGGTAATGGGTGATTAATTTTTCAAAATTTGGACATCAGGGTTCATTTTTGATGATTCTGAACATTGCTCTCACTGCAGCTGTATTTCAGTGCATGTCATACATTCTTACACTTAACTATTTTTGAGATTCGTTTCCATTGCAAGATCCTCTTCAGTCATCAACAAATGGATCTTTTGATTATAATAAAAAGACGATCTTCTTCAACCATCAGCAAATATTTCTTGCACGCTAAGAAGTTCTTGATATGTCGACGATTTCGATGAGAACCTCAACTTCCGGGCCTGTACCCACTCATTATCGTAGCTTGCTNTTCGCTCGACGGCACAGTCCACCGAGAATTTTGACTCATCCTTTTTAGTATCTCTTTGCTACCATATTCCCAAATTCCATGACTTCTCACAAGTCTCTGAATCCTTGATTTGAGTTCTGCCCAACTCGTTGCACAACTCGCTTATCATGAACATTTCCACCCCACTCCCTTTGCTCCATTCGTTACTCCCTTTTCTAATGTCCTAGAACGTTTATGATAAGGGGCAACGGCGAGGGCAAGTGGGTGGATTTTCGTTCTAAGTAATACTCGAAAAACGCATAATAGTCTCATAATAATAGGCTTACATAGTTGACGTATAAGTACTCACCTTTAACCTTGTCTATACCCAATTTTTTGACCTCTAGGCACCGTGAATTAAAGTTCTAGGTTTTACCAAGCATGTCCAAAACAGCTTTATGTTTGTGTAGTCAGGAGTTCGGGCGAACCATGCAGTCGCTTTGGTTGTCACTTTATGATAATCTTTCTAACTCTACTCGCTTCTGCCTTTCTACATTGATTTAACTATATCTCTGAACTGACACACATACAGCGGAGCGCCCTACACAAAGTAGGAAATATCGGGGGAAAGATGAATAAAAATGATTATAGTGATTACGTAAACCCGAAGATACAAAAATGTCTCCAATATCCGAAGTGTCTATTACAGGCGAGAAACTTATATTCGAAGAAGTGGCAAGAACGCAAAATAGGTCTTGCCCGTGTTCAGCAGAAACTTGAGAGTGTTTCTTCAACTGAGGCACCCAAATACTTGGACTGCACGATAGCGATTTTGCAAAGGCATCTCAAGGATCCTCTATACAACGTGAGCGCCATTGCTATCACATCATCCTATATAGGAATGCATATTACTGCGATGACATTCAGGTCTACGCGAGCGCTCTGGACCTTCTCGGCTTCGTTTGCACCAGATACATACAAATCCATCATCTGCAAAGGATGGCACCAAGCTTGGCAAGATCCATTCATAGCACCGTCGCTACCAGAGCCAGTGATACTGTGAGTGTAAAAGATTGCGTTCGCTGCTGCATGAATGAGTTATTAATTATTAGTTATCAAAATACAAGAAGTGATTTGAGCCCTGTTAAGGATCGGCGCTCCTCAACAGCCACGTTGTCAACTATGAACGAGATCTTGGAACAGGATAAAAGGGTATGCTATTCGATGACTTGTTCGCTCTTGATTTGAAGGCACAGTTCGTGATAATTTCGGGTAATCCAGATTATGACGAAAAATGGAAGATAAGGTGAAAATAGTGTGATGAACGCGAAGAAAGTGCGCGAATCGGTGTTTCTGATGTGATAAAGGCTTCGAAAAAATCGACGGTATCAAAGGCTTTCTTCAAATTGATGAACGTAAGACGTAACGGCATTTTTTACCTTCGCGATACTTCAGCGAGTCTTGTGACGGTATGGATGTGATCGGTTGTACGGAACCATCACCGGAACCCAGCTTTGCTCGCATAGCTGTCTTTCATCTGATATTCTGCCAATCTTGTAGAGAACGAATCGTGTGGAAGTGTTCAGATTAAAGGCAGCAGGCATATTGTTGCTAATATCGTCTGGACCTCCCTTCTTTTACAGCAACACGGTCTTGATAGGTTTTCCTCAATTTGGGCACTCTGCATTCCAAGTTCGGTCTTCTTGAAACCTGGGCATGTCATATAATATTTCAGAATGCTTTGCCGTACAGGTTTGTTATGATGGAACCGTTTATTAGGCCGACGTTTCAACTAACTCGTCGTCTTAAAGGACCTGAAAGTAGTTCGGAGCTCTTGGTCTGTGGCTTACCTGACCAAGCGCCCAAACGCACTAGGCCAGTTCCAACTACTCCCAGAAACTCAAACACCGAAACATCCCTGCCAAGAAACCAACCTTCTGCGGTTCCACCAGCGTTGTCTTCCCACTCTATTTCGTGAACAACAAGGGAACAATGAGACACCATTGACGGTCGTGAATAAGAATTGCGCGGTCATCTCAAAGCCCACAAAAGGGAATGAATGGCAGAAGCTCACTCGTTATGGCAATGCACTCACTCCGGTTGTTCAGCTTAGGATTTCGCTCGCGGATATACAACGCTTCCGGTATCTTTCTAGCACCGATCTCGTTCTCGTAGG